TTCACGGTTTGTTCCTGAAAGGCGCCTCAATATTGAATAATAAATAGCAGAACAGGGAAGGGAACAACTGGGCTAAGAGTTGTTTCTCTTTATTAAAATGAAGGCTTTACGGTTGTCATCCTCACCTGGTGCAGAGATATACCTGTATCTCATGGGGTAACATGACCACAAACAACCAGAGAAGTAATTTCTCCATTCGCAACTTTGAAAAATCCCTCCCGCAGCGGGCAACCCATTGCACATCACCAGCCTTTTTATTTTCCTAGAACTCATTGCACATCAAGGACTTTAGAGCTAGACACCTTACTGTCAGTGGAGTCTCCAGCTTCCTTCCCCACCAGGAACATGTGGTTTCCATTCAAAAAGTCTCATTTCTCTCTTTTCTCTGCTGCAGACCCTGTGTAGAATGAGAAGAAACAGATTCGTTCTGCACTAACAGATTCTGCAGTGAAATTCGCCCCGATTTTACGTATGCGTATATATATCTTTATATATATAGAATGATTTGGGTTGGAAAGGACCTTAAAGATCATTTAATTCCATATATATATGTATATATCTTGTAGAAATAGATCATGTGTATGATATCACAAGATATTGATTCAAGCAAGAATCTATAATAATTTCATAAAATCACCAAATGGCTTGGGTTGGAAGGGACCACCTTGCTCCAAGCCCTCTGTCACAGGCAGGGACGCCTTCCACCAGACTAGGTTGCTCAAAGCCCTGGTCCAACCAGACGGTTCGTCCAGAACAAAGAGAAAAAAGAAAAGAAGGCGGCCATAAGTCTTAGACACATTTCTCAGATGCTCATTTAATTGATCCTGTGCCTTGGCCTGAACTTCTCGTTGTGCGTGTGCCAAATTATAGACAGGAGAAGAACCTAAAGGAATCAATGGAACGCCCGTCATTAATTGTGACGGAAATGAATCAAAAAGGTTTGTAGAATCCCTAAGCACACAGTGTAATGCTTCTTGCCTCCTCAGGTATTCTACACAACCCTACAACATGCAGTATCCACCTCCTTTGCAGGGGAATAACATAAAGAAACTGTCCCCAGATTCCCCAGCTCAGCAGGCAGTGTAGCTAGAACTGTTCCCTCTATCCTCCGCTTTTGTTCCCGGTTGTCTTTTGGGTGAATTCCCAGCAACCCATTTGTCCTGGAAAGTTTTAAGATGAAAGAATCTCACGGAGTATAATCACAATGTGCTCCCAGAGGAATTCGAAAATTGTCCTAAACGAGCAATTTGAAAACTGTCAATTAGAGCGATTGAACTGGTGATGTACTTCCGAATTTTGTTCCATGACTAACAGAAAATCGCAGCACACGGAGAATTGCTGTGACTTCCAGAGGTGTAAGAAACTGTATAAAACCGCTCACAACCCCTCACTCCTCACAGCACTCCTCTTGATTTACCCTCCTCAGAGCACCTGGTAAGTTGAGATCCCATTCTCATATTCCTTGAACTACGGAATAAGTTCTTTAGCAGCATTCTCCAAATCGTAACAACAGTAGAAGTATTTTATCCTGTATGCTTTTAATCTGCAGAGTAAAAAAGGGGGGGACATTGATGAACGAATGTTGAAGTATCGCTGGTAAGGTCTGAAGCCTAGAGAAAAACTTTTGTTGTTACGTAAGAAAAAGCAACAGCCCTATTTCTTTGGCTTTTTAAATGGAACAGGAATTTCCTTTTGGTGATATTTAACACCGAATTTTTGGTTCGTGGGCAGAATTGTCTATTACGCAAAGTAGAAATGGCGTCTCGATGGAAAGGTGTTGCAATAATGAGTGGGGACAGGTCACACAAATTTCTTCAGTCTCTCTGAAGTCACTGAGCCTAAAAAGGGTTTAAACCACAGCTCCTCACTGCACAGCAGAATATTTTTATCAAATGCTCATGCACACCCACGTTTGGATGCAGATTTGCAAGCTGAACCTCCTGTATCCAAAGTCAAAAAAAAATGAGGAGGAGAAGCTCAAGAATAGAAACTGTGTCTTACAGTCGAATCTGACAAGCAGGGAGCACAGAAAGGGGCTGGATAAGAGAGAATCCAAAATCACAGTCAAAGTCTAAAGGATTTGCTCAACATTTCTTTCCAAACCCCACTCCCACCACTGCTCCCTGCAAGCCGAGCCTCCCCCTTGACCCTCTGCTTCGTTTTAGGTTCGCCTGCCTTCCCTGCACTGCTCCGAGATGTCTTGCTGCTACGGGTACCCGTGCTACAGCGTGTGCTGCTCCCCCTGCTACCTCTGCTGCTCCCGCACCTACAACTGCTGCAACCCCTGCGGCTATCGCACCCTCCGCAGCTACCGCTCCTGCCGCACCACCCGCTACTACTACCCGTCCTGCTGCAGCTACAGCTACGGGTGCTGCTCCCCTTGTTGTTAAACCCTGGTGGCAATATCTCCCACAATGGGAATCGAGCTCGACCTGGCAAGCGAAGACGGAACAGCGGCTCTCAGAGGCAACAGAAGCGCTGAGGCCCTGCGACAGCAACTGAAGTTGCTGAGAACAGGGAAGTTTGGCTGCTCTGGAAAAATTTCTCGGTGTTTGTGTTTTTAGCGCTCTTTCTGCCCACTTCTTTTCTCTCTTTCTCAACTGCAAGCCCTCCCTTGATATTCTCCTGTGTTTAAATCTATTTGCACCCCTTCAGCAATGGCAACGATGGTCTGCACTTCGTCTGAAGCTTCTTACAGTGGCGTTCAAGGACTTGTGCAAAATTAGTTTTCATGTCATCTGCATTTTCAATAACTACTTCCAGCAAGGTGCTGCAGTACCATGTAATGGAGAAGTATTACAGCTGTCTCCCCTTTGATCTGGATTTACAAGTACCTGAAGGATGAACAACACAGCTTCAAGAAGAAGGAATGTTCTCTATAGCGCAATGCAATGACTCATCACCTTCTGCAGCTCTTCCCAGTTTTCCAAAAACTATAATCTTTCCC